CAAGAGATCCTGATCTCTAAATTCTGTTGCAAAAATATTTAAACAACAGCTACACGTGTTTACCGCTCACACGGAGATGTCGCCCCGTGTCTGGAATTGAAGGCTTAGCCGACGTGTAAAGCGCTATGTCAAATGCAAGGATTATTATTATTATTATTATTATTACTATTACTCTCCCCCACAGTGGGGCTCGGGTGCAAATTGTCATTGGTCCTAAACTCTCCGAAGCAGAGTGAGAGATCCCCTTTTAAAAGGGAAAATCATCCTGTGCCTGAAACAGAAGGCACTCTCTCTCGTCCTCTCTCTCTCTCTCTCTCTCTTCAACTTTACGATGACAATCCCTCCAAAACCCAAAACAATGATTAAAATGGTCATTTTCAATCCACGACTGTCTGTGGGGCGTCGCTGTGCGCCATCGGCCGCCGCGTTCGCCCACAAACATACAGTCAATTCACTTCACAGTGCGTTCTGCGAAGCGCTTTGGGACGTCCTCCAGACGTGAAAAGCGCTCGATCAAACGCGAGGATTATTATTATTTTATTATTATTATATTAACACCGCCGCGTCTTTAAATCGCATCGAAGGGAGGTGTCCATCGCCAACGTTGGAACAAACCCGCAAGGCCTTGCGCTGAGATTGTTGGTCTCCAGCGCGAGGACACAGTGGGTGTAAAACCGAAGCTTTTTCCAATGGGCAACGGAGAGAGCCGCCGACGGCGGTCCGGCTGCAAACTTTTAGCGCCCGTCCGTCAGAATAAAGGAGCGGTTAAACCACTTGCCGGGAACCCCGAAAGCCGCGAGAATAGGGTAGTAAATATATCGGATCCGGTCGATTAGCGGAGCCGTCATCCCGGCAGAGGAACGCTGACCCTTCCTCTCGCTACAGGCAGTCGCTCACACTCGGAGAAGGACGAGCGAGAGCACAAGGCAGTGCCTTATCTAACGCAACGGGTGGGGGGTGGGGGGGGGGGGGGGGTCACGCTTCAGCGAGCAATGTTATGACGCAATCGCGGAGAAGGCGCACCCACCACCCGACCCGTGGAAAACATACACTCTCCCAGAGCTGCGCAGCGCACCCAACGATTTTCGGTTGACTGCTCGTCTCACCCCCCCGCGGGCACCGCTCGCCACACCCCCACCGTCCGTCTCAAGCAATGTGCGAACGCAAATTTTAATTCTTCTTAAAATATCCAAAGGAGATCCACAGGAGTATATCACTTATATTTCCAAATCAGCCGGCGTCTGCAAGCGAAGGCTCACTCTCTCCCCGGAGGGATGCGCTGCTTAATTGATACCGGAGTGTATTGGGCGCAGGTTTGCGAGAAGCGCAGCTGTGCGCGAAGCCTCGGGCAGGTTTCCTTACGAATAATAATCCCTCGGAAACGTGCAACAATACATTGGTCATTTTCAAACCCACGGCTCTGTGTGTGGGGACACTGCTGTGCGCCATCGGCCGCCGCGTTCGCCCACAAACATACAGTCAATTCACTTTACAGTGTGTTCTGTGAAGCGCTTTGAGACGTCGAGAAGACGTGAAAAGTGTAACGATTATTATTCTTATTATAATTGTTATTACATGAAATTCCGAAATGACTTCCCGACATTATTTGGGCTGTTTGTGGGACATTGCTGTGCACAGTTTTGCTTCCGCGGTTGCCTACAATTACGCAGTCCCTTTATTTCACAGCAAGTCCTTCCCTCGAAACGCTTCGAGACCATCGTCTGACGTGACGGGCGCGATGGCACATGAAAGGATTATTATTATCTCAACAACAACCACAAACTTATATTTATAGAGCGCCTTTCGAGCCGGAAGGACATCCCAAAGCGCTGAACTGTCAGGTGTCGGGGCCCGAGCATTGGGGAGGGAA